GGGGGGCAAGGGTATTTTCGTGACTCGTGATTAGCAATTATTCGTGTTTCGTGATTCGTGATTTAAAGAAATACCATTCCGTGAATCGTGATTAATATGCGTGCCGTGAATCGTGAAGAGATAAAAGGCTAGCTATAGTCTTGAATTTACAAACATTTTACCCTAACTTGTGAATGTTTACGTTTAAAACTCGGCCCAAATGTAATATTATGGGGGAAAGTTTATAAATTTGCTTCCCGCGGTTCTCTTAGTTCTTGACTTTCTTCGTTTCATCGGTAAACGTCGTTATCGTATACCTTCGTACTTCTTCGTAAACTTCGTGAACCATCGTACAATGCTCGTAATGCCTTGCAATGATTTCCATTGTCCTTTAAACGGCTCTAATGTTAAAGTCTGTATGTGTTAAATGGTTTCAGACTTTGCTACGCTTCTGTGTTTCTAAAAATCGGGAAAATGAAATTTTGTTTTTCGTAACTCGTGAAATAAAAAAATGATCTTCGTGATTTCGTGACAGGATAACCCTTTACCTCATTGCATATTCATAAATTTGTGGTTTTAAAAGCAGTTACTGTTAAAATTTTGAGATATGTTTATTTGTCCATTAAAGTTAAAGAACACTGAAAATATCAGCACTGTGGAAGCAAGTTTGTTCTGTAGACCACGATGTATATTATTTATAATGGTCTAATGAAAGAACCCATTTGGTAGTCTACAAACCCAGATTTCATTTCCCATGCTGGATTCACAGACTACCATTTGGCCGCACAGTAGTGATAAATTGAAATAATACTGTAATTTATACTATAGTTTTTCTGAAACTTTAGCCTCTCATTTCAAACTTTTATCTTTGAAAAAAGATAAAAATAATAATCCCCGAGCCGACGGCGCGAAGCGCCGTGCGAGGGTACTAATTCCCCCCGGCTATTTACACCCGGGGAAACGAAAGCATTAGCGAAGTCTAAAGTTCATCAAATATCGCGGGCGTCGTTCTCTAACGATGGTGAGTGGGTGGTCATCCTCACTGATCTCTAAAATATGGCTGATTGCGTGTAGGAGTGGGCAAGATTTCAATTTTAAAAGACATATATTTGGAAAATCGTTTCATATACTTTCATATAGAAAATCGTTTCATATTGCTTAATTGAAGCAATTTTTTTTGAAGAGATGAGAAGAATAGATTTACTATGGGAAATCGTGAAATATACGGCAAGTTTCCTTTGAATATTTAATGTTTACGAATTTTGTTTCTTTAATTAACTTTTTGCCTAAAAACACGAACTGTTTTCCTTTTCAACGAAGCTCTAATGCATCAGTCAATTCTAGCATTGCCCATCCCCCCCCCGGGCACCCCCGGGCATTTGCACTTTTTTTTTCTTTAAGTTGACAATTCCCGGGGGTCGGGAAGAAAAAGCGTGACAATGCCCCGCCCCCGAGCAAAAAAAAAGATGACAAATGCCCGGCCCAAGGGCACACCGACTCATTTATAGAATGTATTTTAGACCTCAAAACTTCCATAACATTATTAGCTTCCCTGTATAAAAGCTAACAGCAGTCATCCCAACTTTTGAACATGAAAAACGTGCTCGTCGATGCGACGCCGCAAGATAAACAAGGATTGTACTATGAATTCTAGTGTTTTTATGCTAGATAGTTAATAAATACAACTTTAATTAGTTTCTCATGTGCGATTGGTGTGACGTTTTGTGAATCAAAATGTCGACAAAATCCTCGTTTTTACCCCCGAATTCTTCAACGCCATTTTAATATAATAGCACGTGTTCGTCGCAGAAACGTCCGGTCGAGTCAAATGCCCGGCCGGTAAACAATTCCCCGCCCCCGGGACAACTTTGCAAGTACCAATGCCCGGCCCCCGGGCAAAAAAAGAGTGCAAATGCCCGGGGGGTGCCCGGGGGGGGATGGGCAATGCTAGAATTGACTGATGCATAAGTCTCATAAATTACCGTTTAATTTGAGGAAAAATCTTAAAGGTGATCTACAGTCTGATCTGCGCATGTGCACAAATGAGCCCACTTTTTATGATACAAACAGTTTAACTATGTTTTGAGTTCTTGAAAAGTCTGATTGTTGTTTCTTGATCATTTATTATACTCTAGAAGCTTGAAAATATAAATAGTTGTCGAATAAAGCTCAATATTTTGGACACAAAAATGTAAACAAAGGCTTTGTTTACATACGGACTGTAGATCACCTTTATAATGTAAAGGAGAACAAATTAATTTGAAGACTGAACTGAAATTACCTAACAATTTGTTTTATTTGTAACTTAATAATTATTATGTTTTATAATATTTGTGGTGTTACTCTGAGTGTATATCCACACCGGGCGAGCTTGAAAAATATGCCCGGCCACGGTAGGATTCGAACCTACGACCTTTGGAATACTAGCCCAATGCTCTTCCAACTGAGCTACGCGGTCAGGACGGTTCGAGTAAGTGATATTTCGGAACAGAATCTGGTTCCTTCGATACCAATGTATTCTAGTAATATGAATTTTTCTGTAGGGCTAGTATTCCAAGGTCGTAGGTTCGAATCCCACCGTGGCCGGGCATATTTTTCAAGCTCGCCCGGTGTGGATATACACTCAGAGTAACACACATATATCATATTCACCTGAGTACACAACACCAACACAGAAAAAAAATCATATTAGAATACATTGGTATCGAAGGAACTAGATTCTGTTCCGAAATATCACTTACTCGAACCGTCCTGACCGCGTAGCTCAGTTGGAAGAGCATTGGGCTAGTATTCCAAAGGTCGTAGGTTCGAATCCCACCGTGGCCGGGCATATTTTTCAAGTTCGCCCGTTGTGGATATGCACTCAGAGTAACATCGCAAATATCATATTCACCTGAGTACACTACACCAATACAGAAAAAATTCATATTACTAGAATACATTGGTATCGAAGGAATTAGATTCTGTTCCGAAATATCACTTACTCGAAGCGTCCTGACCGCGCAGCTCAGTTGGAAGAGCATTGGGCTAGTATTCCAAAGGTCGTAGGTTCGAATCCCACCGTGGTCAGGCATATTTTTCAAGCTCGCCCGGTGTGGATATACACTCAGAGTAACACCACAAATATCATATTCACCTGAGTACACTACACCAACACAGAAAAAAATTCATATTATGTTTTATATTTATTAGTTTATCGGCCAATGAACTATAGTTGAATTTTATATTTTACGAAGCGTTTCAAGTTAAATTTGACATTAAATCAAAGCTTACAAAATGCAAAATAATATACCTACAGTATATAATATGGAAATTTATTGTTGTATAGTTAAAAGTACGAGTCTTTGAACTATTTTGCAGTTTTGTACAAAAAATATGAAAAATTAAAAATTTAAGAATATCGTGTTGTCATGGCAACACTTGAGCGCGAGTCTGCGTTCAGTGGGCCATTTCTCAATACTTCATTTTAATTTAATGTTTGGAAAATATTGGCGAGGGGTTACTGCATGCATGTATTTCTAGTTTATTTCTATAACTTATGTATCTTGCTTAGAATAGATACATACATGTCAGTGGCTACCGAGTTCATTTGTGGGTGATTAATATAAAAATTAAATTGGCAAATTATTTTGACAAAACTTTAAATTATTTTGGCCCTGATTATCATCAGTACAACTATTTATAAAAAGCTAT